CTGCACTATTGGGGGGGGGTCCAGGGCTGCCATTTGGGGAGGATGGGGCCACATCATCAGAAGGAGACCCTGACTATCCTGGAGGGCCCCACCCCTTCACGTCCACATTGGCCCACACCCGAGCCCCTCTGTCCTTGCTAGCAATGCCACCTCTTCACAGCCAGGCCCAGGCCGGCTGCCCTCGACCTGCTTGCCCCATTGGCCTCCCAGTTGACTGTCTCTCCTCTTGGCAGGCAGAGGGTTTTCTCTAAGTGGGAAATATCTGCTCACATCCCCCCACACACACCCCACCCCCTGCTCAGCCCCCTTCTCCCATCACTAATGGGTAGGTGGAGGGAAGCTCTTAATTCTCCCAGGGAACGGCTCCAGACATACAAGTATTTACAAGCTAATTTTCGGCGTCAGTGGTAAATGTCAACATGCCAATCACCCTCCTCCGTGACACATTGACAAAAAACACATGCAGAAGGCCACAGTTCAGGGAGGAAGAGGCAGCCTCAGGCTCCATAAGGACCTGCCCCACAAGGTTCCAACCACAGGACCCGGTATCCAGCCCCTCCAGCGCCTCTCTCACCAAGCCCGCCCTCCTCCCCTGTGGTCTTCCTGGAGAATTAAGCCACCCCCTCCAAGCCTTAGTGTGTTCCTTCTACCAGGAACACACTTACTGTCTCTACCTATAAAGTGCAACCTCATCTATAGTTGAGGCACTGTCTCCTCCAGGAAGTCCTCCCAGGCCTGCACTTAGTGCTTCCCTAGCCCCAGCTCCTGCCTACGTCTGTATTTACCACCCTCCCCCCCCCAGGGACTTTCTCTCCTGAACTGCACCTTCTCTGTCAGCTTTAACCTAACCAGGAGCTGTGGATCCATGGCTTGTCACCGACTGCAAACACATCTGTGACCTTCACTGTCCAGGTGCTCCCTGAGGGCCCAGGACTCAGCCCAGTCATGACCCGAGGACCCCAGACCTCTGGGCCCTCAGCTCAGGGATCCCCCTGTGGAGTTCCTCACCCAAGGCCCCTAAGGTTGCCCACTCACCAGCCTCCCGGATGTCCTTAACAATCTGGGCCGTGAGGCTCCCGTTGTAGAAAGCCTGGGCGCCCTCGAAGGCCAGCGTCTTGTATGTTTCAGCCAGATGCGGCATGGTCACTCTGTCCCCCTCCTGTAGCACCTTCCCATCCCGGCAGAACACCTTGCTGGGGCAGAGAGACTCCCATGAGGCAGGCAGTTGTGGTGCACTTGGCCAGACCACCCTCCACAGCCACCCAACAACACGGGGAGATAAGAGCAAAAGACAGTCAGCACCTGTCCACAGGTGGGTGGCCCTGTCACTTGGGGCTCGTCCTCCAGTGTCCAGCCCAGGCCTCCTAGAATCCCCTGCCACTCAGGACACACAGGCCAGAACCCCATACACCAGTCTCAGAATGTGTCCCCACATGTGGTAAGAAGGGGTTTGCATCGCCTGGACCCCAGACCTGTTATCAGCACAGGGCCCTGAAAGAGTTCCATCAGCCCTTCAGGGTCTGCGGGAACCTGGAGACATGCTTGCCCCACCTGTGCCCCAGGGCAGGCCAGCATCTGCAGACATACCACAGGGTAGGCTGCTGCTCAATGATAGCCCGGTTTTTCTCCAGGGCTGCCGCCAAGCCCTTTCCCACAGGGAAGCCCTCGCGGGCCAGCTGGATGCTGGGCTGGAAGAGGCGAGCCCAGGGCAGCCGCCCATGTCGCTGATGCGCCAGCTCGTAGCCACGGATCTCACCAGGAACTGCCACCGACAGTCCCCCTGCAGAGGGAGAGGGACACAGTTAGTGGCTCCAGACAGGGGACATCAGGGCCTCTCTTAGGCAGCATCCCAGGCACAGTGCCCAGGTAGGACCAGTGAGGCTTAGGAAGGAAATTGATTTTTTTTTTTTTAAGATTTTTATTGAGGAATTGGGGGATGGGAACAGCGCCGGGGAATCAGGAGAAGGGGAACAGACAAGTTTCTGTCCTTTTGTTCTTCAATCTAGTTGTGGAGGACGTTGCTTCGCTGGCCCAAGTTGGCACCATCATTGCCCTCTTCCCAGGTGAGGCAGATCAGTTGCCGGCTTCTGGACAGCCGCTCACAGCGGCTGCTGGCTGCTCACGCTGGCTGCTGGCTACACACGGTAACCCATGGCAACCCACTGCAGCAGGGGCTGCAGCCTACGCTGTCGCCGGTGACTCACGGCAGCCCAGCTCCATGTTGAGCTGTTGTTCAGCGTCTTAGCTGTAGAGGGCAATGTCACTGGCCCTCATATGTGAGATCCGAACCAGGGCCCTCTGACATCCCAAGCCAGCTCTTACTGCGCTACTCAGCCGGCCCAGGAAATGGAATTTTGAGGTCACATCTGGACTCGACAGGGAAGAGTGCGGATCGGCTAGGGATGTCTGTCTAACAGAGCACAGGAGTGTAAGGTAGCAGTGTGAGTGCTGGGTTTTGCTGTCCCAGGCCTAGATGTCTCTCTCCACAGGTGCCACCATGTCTGAAATCCTATGGCAGGCTCACAGTTGCATAGTGACACTATAGAGAAGCCAGACCCATACCATGTCTCAGTTGGAGCCTCCCAGGCAAAAAGGCTTCTTGTCCCATGAGACTCAAGGGTTCCACCAGAATCGGCCAGGGCTCCCAACACAAGCCCAGGCTACACTCAAGCCCAGGTCACCCTCAAGCCCGGGCCAGTCCCAAAGCAAGAGCCTCTCAGGCCAGCTGAGTGGCTCAGTTGGTTAAGAGCTCTCTCAAGAGTGTTAGCTCTGAGCAACAAGGGCCTGAGCTGAGCAGCCGCTGAGCTGCCAACAGGTGGCAGGATGGCTCAGCTAAACAAAACAAAACAAAACAAAACAAAACAAAACAAAACAAAACAAAACAAAACAAAACAAAACAAAACAGAGAAAAAAGAAACAAAAAAGAGCCTCTCTTCTATTGTCCTAACTGGACCTGACCCCAAATCCCTACCTTGTTCCCTCTCTGGGTCTCAGTTTCCCCATCTGAGCATAAAGAGTTTTGTCTTCCAGCTCTGACCTTTGAGAAGCCCATGATCCTACCAGAAACAGACCCCTGGGCCCTGCTCCCCCACCTTGCCCCACTGCCCACCATGCTCTTAGCTGCACACTGACATGGAAAGGTTCAGCCATTGTCCCCACTGCCAGGTACCCTCCTGCATTCACCACTGAGATGACCAGGGTCATTTCTCCTCTAGAGCAGAAGTTGGGCACAAGGTTCCAAGAGCCAGGTTGGTACGACATCTGCACATCTCAGATCTGACACCCAGCACACAATTCCTCCCACCTGAAATAAATTCTGCCCTGACCTAGGACCAATCAGGCTCTCGCACCACAAAGTCACCAGTGACCCCATGCTGCCAGACCAGGTGCCACCCAGCCTCACCTTACCTGGCCTATCACTCTCTCTTCCCAGATCACTTCTGTGTCACACCTGCCTGGCTTTCCTCACATCTCCCTGCCCTCTCCTCTCCTCTGTCTACACTCACCCTGCCAGTGAACCCCAGATCTGGGCTTCGGGTTTCATTTACATTCTGACAACTCCCAAATTTACCCTCTGGCCTGGCCCGCATCTGAGGATGCATCTGCCCATTTGGAAAAGGCATCTCAGACTTCACATACCCCAAACCCAGCTCCTGGTTGTCATCTGTCCTCTCCTGCCATGCCGCCTTGACGGGCTCTATCAGAGCCACCCCATCCTTCCAGGTTCAGACTAAAGACCTGGGGTGATTGGAACTCCTGGCAAACACGACATATCCACAGGCACCACCTCCCACATGTGTTCAGCACCAGCCACCAAGCACCACCCTCATCTCTCCCTGATTATCTCCGAGACCTCCTGACTGGTCACCTACCAGGCAGGCAGCTTGCTCCCTGTCCCTTCCACAGAGCCCAAGGCATCCTGACAGACATAGGCCAGATTCATCCCCACCTCCCCACATGCAAACACTCCAGAGGACACCTCTACTCCCCTTAGATAAGAAGCATGGTCTTCGCGATGACTGATGAGGTCCAAAAGGACCTGGACCATTCCACCCGATCCCATGTCTTCTTCTTCCCTTCCTGCGGCTCCCCTCACCCCACCCCACCCCAGCCTCTGGGTCTTTGCTCAGATGCCCCTTCCCTGACCAAGCTACCCTTGGGGAATCCGAGCGCCCTCTGGCCCCTTCTGCCTCTGCTGTCCCAGCAGCAAGTGGCACACTTGCAGCCTCCTCAGACTCTCTTCTCCACCTAGAATGTCAGCTTGACCAGGCCACAGGTTTCATCTGTTGCCTTTGTTTTGGACTCCGGCTTAGGGAATAGCCCCTGACACTTTAGGGAGTGCCCAACCAGTCCTAGATAATAAATGAATTCCAAGTGTCCACAAGATGCTAGGTCTATAAGATTCTAGCAATCTCACACTCTGATTTCATTTCTACACATTTTGAGTTTCCCAATGGGTAAAAATTCAAAGATTCTGCACACTGGAGAGGACTCCAAAGGGGCTACTCATAGGGCCCCGACCTCAGAGGCAGAGTAGAGGACAAGGCCCGCTGTGGCTGGTGTGCCCTGCCCCTACTCCTCTTCAACCTCTTTTCCTGAAACCCATTTAGGGGTCCCTGGAGCAGCACCCCCTGGTGGCCACTGGCTTCTCCTCAGCTGCGTAGGGAGTTGCGGGCCTCCTCTTGGCTTATGGCTAGATTAGAAAAAAAAGACTCCGCCCCATATTCACCCCCCCCCAAATGAACAAATGAATGAATGAATGAATGACCTAGATGTGGCTTTACCACGCTAGAACTGTGTGACCTCAGCCGGTTTGCCTGACCTCTCTGGGGCCTCAGCACCCCCACCTATAAAATGGGAACCAACACGGCACTCCCCCACCAAGGGTACAGGGAGGATTCAAGGGCGTCCTCAGTGAAAACGTCTGAACAGAGTGGTGACCCCAGTGACCCCTAGTATGGCAAACTAGTGCAGTAATAATTATTCCCTCTGTGTACTAGCACAGGGCGGCCCTGGAGGGACCTGAGCAGAAATAACAGAAGCTCTGTCCCTTTAACCTCCGTGATGATGGTCTTGACCGTTCGTTCATTGTGGTGGACGTCAGTGACTACCAGAGCTGTTCCTGGCCCCAGACAGAAGCATGCTAAGCCCTCCCATCCCACACCCTGAACCTGCCCCTCACCTTCCCGCGACTGCTTCGAGTTGTTGAACATGCCGGCGAACGCCAACTCAGGGGCTACCTCGCGGGCGTTGATGACCTCCACTTTTCCTGGAAGGAGAAGCAGGTGGGCAGGCCGGACTAACACCAACCCTTCACCCCGTGTGAGCCCAGGTACCACCCAGCTGTGCTCTCCCCAGCCCAAGTCCAACCTGACGCAGACACCCTGCCATTTGCCTCCCGCTCCCATGGGCACTCACGCGTGGTGCTGTTGTAGATGGTGAAAAACAGGCCACCCCCGATGCCCATGCTATGTGCGTTCATGAGCCCCATGCACAGCAGGGCCGCGATGGCGGCGTCCACCGCCGAGCCGCCATCCTGTAGCACGTCCCTGCCCGCAGCACATGGAGTGGAGTGAGAGAGACCCTGCAGGCGCCCCTACCCCATGCACACCCTGCCACCCACCTCCACCCCACCTGGCCACCTTAGCCTTGACAGAAGAGAAGTCAACAGGGGTTTTTGTTTTTTAAACGTAACTCTAAAACTGATGGGCTTATATTTTCCTCTCTTTCAAGCAAACAGATGTACGTCACTTTTATAATGGAAAAAAACGAAAAATTGTTACTTTTTATTAATAACATTTTTGTCTGTTTAAGTCTTTAAGTGGGCGCTAACCTTTGAATACAATGTGAGATAAGAATCAAAAATAGTATCAAACAGCAGAGTTTATTCAAAGAGACAGACACCCTTAGGCATGAGAAAAAGGCCCAGCTAAGCACTGGGAGACCCGCACCCTGCTCTTGGGGGTCAGTGTCCCCTTTTCCTCTGACTAGAGGCCGCTGAGAAGGTCCAGGGAAAGGATGCCCCTTGTCCAGGCAGCCCGTTTACGAATGGGGAAACTGAGTCTCAGAGGTCCACTTACAGGGTCTGTATCCCCACTCTCTGTCCCACTCACCTCCCAATCTCTGAGCAGGGCTTGGCGTCTGCGGCCACTGCTGCCCTGGGGTACACGTGGTTGGCCGGCCTGGAGGTGGAGGGGAGCCAGAGGCTGAGGCCAACGATGAGCAGTAGCAGGGCTATCGCCACCAAGGCCAGCACCACAAACCGCTTCTTCATGATCTGTGGGCACAGGGTGGGGGTGGGGGGAGCAGGGTCAGGGCACCGCGTCAGGCTGGCCTTGAGCACATCCTGACCCCCGCCCCCACAGGGCACAGTTCAAAGTCAAGCCTCAGAAATCTGTCCCTGTGTCTCCTTCCTGCCACCCAGAACATGTGTGCGTCAGGTCACTCTCTCTGACAGAAGTTCCTGGCCCCGTCTCTGCCTTCCCAAACCCTCTCTGCTTATCCTCGGGGCCCCACCCCAGTAAGGACCCCGTCTCTAGGAGGGAGCCCTCCTGGTAGTCCCCACATTTCACATGCCTCTGCCTCTGCAGGGCCTTGTCTGTCTCCTCCCAGTGACAGAGCCCTCCACTGCCCATAGGTTGCTCTAGGAGGGACAAGTCTGGCCTGCTTCCTTCTGTGTCCCCCACCTCAGCCCAGGCCCCGGCACTGTCAATGGGTCCCCCAGACTGGCCTGCCACAGAATGTGGGGTTTAGTGTCTGTCCTGCCCTCAAAGGGGGCACCTGCAGTCTCCTCCTGAAATCATCAGATTAGCTGCCACAGGGCAGGGGTCTACCTTCCACAGCGATGGGACCCCCCCCCCGATCCTCACCTGGGCAGGGGGGTGTCAGGAGTAGCCACAAAAACTGGGAGAGTTTGGCTAAAACAGCTGGCAAAATAACTGAGGTTTCTCACTCACTGCAGGAGCCTGTGACCCCAGAACCTGCTCCAGAATGACACCCCAACCACGTAGCCTCCTCGTTCTCCTGGAGAAGGGGTACCTGAAACAGGCCCAGCCCTCCTCAGGGAGCTCTGTGAGGCTTCTCTGCCTCCAGGTGAGCTCTGGAGTTAAAGAGGAGACTGTCAGCTGTTCACATGTTGGCATGAATTCTCCCAGGCACAGCCGAGAGAGGTTTGCACAGAGCAGGGCAGGGAGCAGTGGGGGACATTCTGTACAAGGCCGGGGTTCTGTGGTGAGCATGTCATGTGAGTAAGTGGTGAAGCCAGGCCAAAGGCATGGGGAGAATGGGCCCTGGAGCCAGCCTGCCCCATCTGAGCCCGGACTCGCCATACCTGCTGTGGGGCCTTGGGCAAGTCACTGACCACCCGTCCTATGGGAATGACAGAGGCATGCCACTCGGAGATGTTGTGAAGATTAAGTGGATTGGAAGGTGGGAAATGCTACCCAGAGGGTTGCCCTGGAGGCTTTGCTGGTCAGCCTCTTGCTCACCGATTTCCCTGTTGAATTCCTTCCGGGGTACACTGGGAAGGACAGCAGTAGAGAGTAGGGGCTAGATTGAATCTTGGCTTGGGTCTCCTGGCAGTGGAAGCAGGCGAGGGGTGTGACCCCAACAGGTAAGGAGAGGTATAGTGACAGAGGCAGGGGTCCCCTTCCCCCAGACTCAGTTCCCTCCAAAGGGTGGGTGTTTGTCGGTGAGCCCCGGGCTGGGACCCCTCTGGCTCACTCCGTCCTTCTTGAGGGCCTGAACACCAGGGCCAGAGGTGGTGTCCCAAATATGGCTTAGGAATGGAGTCCCACCCCCGTGTGAGGGGCATCCAGACACCAGCATGGAAAGGCTTTCTCCTCCTCAGGTTCAGGGGCCAGTCATATAGCAGAATACTACCCCACATTCCCGGGATTCCAGCCGGCCCCTCCTCCCCACCTTGACTGAATCTACCACCGTTTCTGACTGGACTCCACACAGCCCCCTCCCGACTCTCCCCCGCCACAGCATCCCCTGCCCTTTAGTCCTCTGAAAAGCAGCCAGAGGGCTCTCTCCAAAGTGTCAAACAGGTCCTGCCCCTTGCCGATGCCCTGGGGACAGTCCGTGCCTTCTGCCCTCTGCCTCCGCTATGCCTGACAGCCCTCAGGGCACACCCTGGGCCTTGGCAGAGAGGCCAGTCAGAGGGCAAGGGCTCCTGATGGAGACAGCTGTGCTGGGAGGTCTCAGGGGCCTCAGGGGCTGGACTGGCAACATGCAGCGTCTGTTCCAGACACAGGACTTGCCCATCACATGGGACAGGTAGGGCTAGACAGGTCAGGGGCCAGTACCCCTCTTCCCTGGAACAGGCACAGCCTCACCCACCAACGAGGCCCTTCAGTCCCGTCCACTGGGGCAGGCCATGCTGGGCACCGAGGGGACATGGCCTGGCTTCATTTTTCCTGGGCTTAGGCTATCAGCTGAGACTCCCCTCAGGCCCCTGGGATCAGGTAGCCACGATCTCCTAAGGTCCACACTCCAGCCTCCCCTGTCCATCCATCTGTCCATCTACCCACCCAAAGGCCTTGAGGGGCAAGGGCACCCAGTGAGGCTCAGATTGCCAGGGTGTGTGGGGAGAGGGTAAGCAGCACTGAACCCCATCTCCTCCTCCCTCGGCAGGGCAGTGGGAGGCCTGTCTCAGCCTTCCACAGGCAAACATATCCAGCCTTGCAGAAGACACCCTGCTGGGGGACTGTGCTTCCGTTTCCCACCCCACGTTTTTCTCTAAGACTCACTAAAAAGCGTCCGAGCCCAGAGGCCTGGTTCCCACTCAAATCGGTATCAGGAGGGGAAACCGAGGCCAGAGGGTGGATCTGGTACAATGCCTGGCCTCAAACCCCAGCCCAGCTCCTCATAAACCCTAGTGGGCTTACCTGAGGCCCCGGGGCATCAGGGGCCCAGGAAAGCCCCTGTTCCTCAGAAGACAGCTCTGGGCTGGGGCACAGCAGGGGAGGAAGAGGCAGATTTGTACGCCTGGGAAAGTCTTAGTCACAGTGCCGCTGGCTTCCTTATTCCCAGGGGAGCCAGCTGTGTGGGGAGGTCTGAGGGACCTCAGGAGTCAGAGCCACGCCTGCGGCCCCTGCAGACTCCTCAGGGAGCCTCTGAACTGGGACTGAGATCTGGGGACGGTCACCTCTGAGGAAGAACAGAGGCAGGAAGAACTGGAGGAACTCATGCTCACCTAGAGGGGGCCCAGAGGGGACAAGAGGTTGGCCAGGGAGCTCCCAGCATCCCCATGGGGCAGTGGAAGGCCCTTGAGTAGGGTGGAGAGCAAGCAGTCCTCTAAGGGAGGTCCAGCCTGGCAGGGAGGCCGGTAGGAGATTGCTATATGGGCAGCAAGGAGGCGTGGTGACTAGGCCTGAAACCAAGCGACTAAAGTTCACGAAATCCTAGAAGGTTCTGTGACAGCAGTGACTCTTGGAGTCCCCATGGCATTGGCAGCAGGTGAGGGTGTGGCCCCAACAGGGAAGGACAGGTATGGTGACAGAGGCAGGGGGTCCCCCTCTGCAGGATTCAGATCCCTCCAAAGGGTGGAGTCGGCCGTAAGCCCCTCTGGGGAGCCCCAAGCTGGGTCCCCATTAGCAATCTCTGTCCCTATTCAGAGCGTCTGAACTCCAGGGCGACACAGCTTCCCAGAGATGGTTCCTGAGACAGTGCAGCATGAGTGCTGCCAGCACTAGACTAGAACCCAGATCTAGGAGGCCTCACCACAACACACAACCCTCAGCTGGTTACCAATGGAGCCTCTCAGGAACACAGCCTGGGGCTTGGGTCAGGACAAGTTCTACTGCTTATCCAAGAATATCATTGCCTCAGGCCCAAGGAACTACCTGAAAGCCTGGAAGGCAGTGCCCAGGGAGGGCCAGAGCTGGTCCAAAGTCATATAGCCTAGCAGTGCAGGCCTGGTCACCCTGTACCTGCCACCAAGTTACTGCGTGTACCTGACCAGCCCTCCAAGGAGGTCCTGAGTCAGGAGGCCTGACCCAGGGGACCTTAGACACTGCTCTCCATTCTGCCATGCCCTTCATCTGCTAAGGACAAGGACAAGGACAAGGACCAGCTGCTTCCTGAGTCATGGCTCCCACCAGGTTCTCTGGCCAGCTGTGTCTAGGCAGCCTGG